ATTTTTGATTTTACAAATGGGGTGACTGAGGCTACAGCCAGTTAGTGGAAATGGCAATGTGTGACTCCAGCCTCCTCTCCTCAGAGCCACAACACTAATAGTATTAAAATAAGTGGCAGATCCAGCTTCAAACCTAGACCAGCCTTTACCCTAAAGCTCATTTGCATTCTACCACACCAAAGGATTTGAAATTTGTCAGCAATGGGAACTTTTATTTTCAAACAAATTTGTGAGATCTTGATATATCAGCAAATGAAAGAAGAGCTGCTTGGTGCAGAGTAAGACAGGATGTCTGGAACCCTACCCATTAGGACCTAGGGGGAACCCAAATTGTTCATAAAAAGCAGTTCATAAACCCTTGTTTATAACATGCCATGTCCCAAGGGCACCATTAATATATAAAATAGATCTTTAAAGACCAGTTGATTGTTTTTAGCTTACAATAACTTTTATTTTTATTCACTCTTGCTCTGTCTCTGTTCATTTTCTTTGCATATCTGTACTCATCTAAAACTTGAAGTGTAGTCACACTGGTTTATGAGTATATTCCTCACCTGGTTCATTTGTGATTTTATAATTGAAAGCTTTTCTTCAAGGGCCTCCTGTCCTTTTATGGGGACTCCGACTCTAGGATCATACTTGTCTTTTCTTTGACTTTTTGGAATCTGCTTTCCTGAAGTACAAATCAATTTTTCTTCTGGTGAAAATTAAGTTTACAAATTTACTTTTTTCCTTGTTATTTTCCATGACATTTTCAGCAAGATAAGGCATTTTGTCACATGATCAGATTTTAGGAGAAGATTTTTGGCAGATGTCTATGGTTGACGTCTCCATTTGGATCTTATTTTTCTTTTGTGTCAGTTTTGTGCTATTATCCTTATTTAATTTGCTCTGACAATTATATGTGAACACTCTGAAATAAGCAAACAACAATAACAATGTTCAACATATATATTAATCTTATCTATCCATTCATCCTTCCATTCATCCATCTTTATCCTCATGCATGTAACCTTCAATGCTCAATAGTATAAAAAGGAGAGATATCCTGGAATCATACTTTCTTCTTCAAATTTCTGATTTCCACACTGGTATATAATTTCTCTAATCCCGAGTTTCTTAAACTGCGAAATGTTTGGACTAGGGGATGTGATCCTTTCAGCCACTGAATTGCATATGTTTTTCACTCCCTTTCCTTTTTCTGCTGTCCATTTCATTTGGACAAAGCATATACTGACTCCCACTTAAATCAGGTTATTCTCAACCCCTATTTCTGATTATTGATTGTGAATTACTGGAACATACCCCCCTCTTTTAAAGAACATCTGACAGGATTAGCATTCATCTTTGATGATAAAAGATGTTTTAAGTATCTCAGCATACCCTTGTATACATAAACCACTTTTACGTGAAGTCTTGGTTTGAGCATGGAATCTTCTTTATAAAATGGTGTTCCCAGTCACTGTCAGAAGTCCATTATTCCAGTCATGTTAGCCATGATTTAGGAAATGAAAGCACATTTCATGAATATAATTTATATAAGCAGCTATTCACTTTCTATATCCTCTTTTCTTTTCCAAAGTTAACATTCAGAAAGGATTAAAACCACTGATATTCTCCCAAATCCTTCAAGTTTTCTAGGTGCAATTTTGAAGTCACCAGAGATATATATTAGGTTTCTTTCAAGTATCATCCATTTGTTCATTCCTTTGTCATTTAGCAAAAATGGTTAGCAGTGGGCAAACTATCAGATTTCAGGTGCCTACTCTAGAAATTGCAATGACCAACTCCCTAGAATTTTCTGCTTGCTATGGGGAGCTCCAGTAGATATAAGATTTTTAAAATTCTGGTTCACTCTTGCATTCAGTAATATTTCAGCTTCTTCAAAGTAATTTTAATTCTCCAGGCTTCTTAAGAATTCCTTTCTCTGCTTCTTTCTTAAATTATTTTCAATGCCCTACAAGAATCATTCATATTATTGATAAATCATAGTATAAGGAGTTACTCACATAGGTTTTTTTTCTAAGAAGGACATTTAAGTTTTTATAAGTCTCATATAACTGATGAATGCCTTTAAACCCTCTTGCTCTAGAGGTCTCATCTAATCTCACTTTGAAATGCGTTCTCTATACTGATGATTTCCAAATGTATTTCTGGTCCTCTTCTCTTTCCTGAATGCTGGACTCAAATGTGCAGCTCGAGATGTTATCTCTACCTGAATGTCTAGTGTCATATCAGACTCAACATGGTCAAAGCAGAAATCTTATTTCTCCCTAAACCTGCTTCCTCCCTGTCTCTGTCTCAATTATGGCACCGACATCAGGCCAATTGTTCAGAAACTTAGGAGACTTTCATGACACCCTCTTCTTTCATTTCTTGTAAATCTCTGATTTATCAGCAAGACTTTTAGTTATTCCACCAACTAAAATGCATCATTACATTTTTTACCATCTCTACTACTGCCATAGTAGTCTAACCCAAGCCTCTAGACTGGACAACAGCAAGTCTCTGACCTACGGTCTCTGTTTTTACTCTTTTCTCTTATAATCTACACAGCAGCCAGAGAGTGATCTTTAAAAAGATGCTAATTAAAGCTTATGGCCCCCTGGTTTAAAACCTTCCAATGGTTTGGCAGTACACTGAGATAAAATAAAAAGTCTTTATCATGGCTTTCAAGACCCTTGATGTTCTGGCTTCTATCAGATCTCTGACTTTATATTTCATGCACTTGCCCCTCTTTTCCTGTGCTTTGAAAATGCCAAGTACATTTCTCTTTTAGGGTCTTTGCACTACGTGTTACATATGCCTAGAATGTTGTTTTCCCAGATATTAAGGTTGGCCCATTTCCACCATCCAGGCTTTGGCTCAAATGTAAACTTCTCAGTGAAATCTTTTCTCATCCCCAGTCCAAAGTAGTACCCCTTTCTTAACTTCTTCCCCGCAAGCCCCTCTCTTTACCACTGCATTTTAAAAATCCAATGTAATTATGAATATAGAGATAATCTAAATCTAAATATTTATTGTTTTGCTTTCCACTCTATCCCAATCCCTTTTCAGTGTGATCTGTTAGGGTAAGGACCTGGTCTTCACAACTGTACAACTAGTGCTAGTACAGTGCCTGGAACAGAGAAGTCCTCAATATATAGTTGTGATACCTATAAAATAGACATGAACATCTCCAGTTCTCCTGAATTTCAAGTGAAATTAGCTTTCTGTAAGTCTCTTGTAAGGTGACCAGCAAATGTCTTTTTCTGGAAATAAGAAATTGTGAAATGTTGAGTTTATTCCAGTTTTGAAAGAAAATGACATATAGTTTCTGACATTTAAAAGAAAAAGACCTCCTAGGTAATTCAGAAGGGCATTTCATCAAGAAAAACTCCACCATTCTCCTGGCTTAGCTGAATCTGTCCACCTCATAAGTATCTAAGCAGGGAAAACATCAACACCTATGTATACTTTACCAAGTCATTTAAATCCAGAAAGTAAATTTAAATCTCTTCTAAAGCAGTGACACAATGTAGTTGTGGAGCCTTGTCATGTCAAGCTCCACTACTGATCCTGGGAACATGGCTCTAAAGGAAACTACCTTTGCAATTTTCTGGGCCAGAACCAAAGTCAAGACAACAACAAAGAACCCCAAACCAACAAAACAAAACAAAAGAAAATATAACCGACTATTGACTAGGAAGGAAAACATATGCAGTGGTTTGTTTAGGTATGTTTGTGTGTGTGCTTGCACACGGTAAGGGGAGGGACTGCGGAAGTGAAGTGAGAGGCAGAACTGGCTACATACCCAGCCTGGCCTATTGTAAAATGAAAATGCGAGGATCCTTGTTCACAAATTATTAAGAATCCCAAAACAGTGAATCCCAGTGACAGCAGATTATCGTTTCAGAACATTAAACTGAACAAGGCCCTTCTGAGTGCAGTACTCCGTGCAACTGGACAGTCACACACCCCTGAAACCCACCCTAGTGGGAGGGGAGGATTAGAATCCTTCTCCAAGGACTGGGAAGCAACCACAGCCTCCCCTCCCCCAGGAGGAAACAACAATAGCAGAAGGAAACAACTATCAACATTAGAGCAGGTTGCACCCAATCTTGATGGTGGTGCTTGTGGTGGCAGTGGAGCTGTGAGCAGCACTCTCACAAAGCAGACGTTAGATTGATAGAGGAGGTAACAAAACAGTTCCTGAAGCTCCAAAGTAGAAGCTCCAGAGGCAAAAAGAATAAGGTAAAAGGAAAGAGGCGGAATCAGACTTTCCTTCTGCCCTCATGCAGACAATGCCGTTTCTTTCAAAAGAGCCCATCTCCTGAATTCAACTACTGTGTATGTGGTGTAGGAGCTGTGGTGAGATAGGTGGGGCTGGTTATAAGGGTGTGTCAGACAGACAAAAAAAGGGTAGAGACAGGTTTAAATCCATTTTTGTGGACTGGCTTCTGACCCCCTTTGGCAACAAACCCGAGGGCTCCCAGAGGGAGCCTGGATGTCGATGGCTCCGGACAACCGCTATTTTATCCTCCCTTGACTCTTCGAAGGTAAGACCCACGGGGAACCTTTGTGAGCCACACTCTTGGGGCCATCAAAAGTCACCTCACTAGTAGAAGTGCGGAGTCCCGGAGCATTTGGAAGAGGTGGCAGGGACCGTGGGGCCCGGCCAGCTCCGGCCCGGGAGGGCGGTCGGAGCAGTGCGTCCGGTCCCCTGCGTCCGCAGTCGGGGCAGCGGGGCCAGCGGGAGTCCCCGCGGGGCGGAACAGACGGGCCTGCCGAGGAGGCTCGGAGCCGCCACTCGGTCCTATCCCGGCTCGAGGAGACTCAGGCCCCCGGAACCGCGGGCAGAGGGGGCGGCGACCGGGCACCCTGCGGCCACTGCGGCGGCTCGGGCGCGCGCCGGGTGGTGGCTCTGCAGTGCCCGCCCCGCTCCCCTCCCCGCCCCGCGCCCGCCCCCGCCCGGCGCCCGGCCGCGCTGACCCGCCGTCCTGTCCCTCCGGAGCGCCGGGCGGCAGCTTCTCGGCGGCGGCGCCTTCCCTGCGCGGCGGCCGCTCCGCCGGCGCTGGGTCCTCCCGCCTCGGCCATTTTCCCTCCCGCCTCCCTCGGCTCCTCATCCCGCGCCCTGCCCCCGCGCGGGGACTTTTCCGGAAAGTTTTTATTTTCCGTCTCGGCTCTCGGAGAAACAAGCTCCCGGTGCGGCGGCGGCCGCAAAACTTTCCGGCTGCCGCGCCGCCGGCCCGCGCCCTCGGCCGCCCGGCCCGCGGCCGCGGCGCGCCCGCCGAGCGATGAGCCGCCCTCCGGCGCTGCGGCCGCCCAGCCCGCTGCTGCCCGCGGCCGGCGCGGCGGCGGCTGCCGCCGCGCTGGTCCCGGGGTCGGGGCCCGGGCCCACGCCGTTCCTGGCTCCCGTCGCGGCCCCGGCCGGGGGCGTCTCGTTCCATCTGCAGATCGGCCTGAGCCGCGAGCCCGTGCTGCTGCTGCAGGACTCGTCCGGGGACTACAGCCTGGCGCACGTCCGCGAGATGGCTTGCTCCATCGTCGACCAGAAGGTAAGGCGCCGCGCGGCTGCGAGCCCGGCGCCTCCCGGCCGCGCAGGGGGCGCTGCCCGCCCGCCGGCCGCGCCGCGCCAACTTTCCGGCTCCCGCGCCTCGGCCGGGACCCAGCCTCGCCGGCCCTCCGGGAGGGTCTGGCCCCGGCGGGGTTGGACGCCGGCACCCCGAGGCGCCGCACTCGCTGTGGCTCAGTGCTCCCCTCGCCCCCTGTTGTAGCCAGTGGTTTCTCTCCAGTCTGCATGCTCTTCACCCATTTCCATCCTTCTCACGGCATTTCCAGGTATCTTGCCCTTTTCTGGTCGCGCGTCGCGCCCCTCCTTACCCTCGAGACTTCCCGGCTTTCCCCTGTCCTCCCTCTGGCCCCTCGACCGGCTCGTTCCTGGCGCCGGAATCCTCCTTCCTGCAGCAGAGTTTCCCCCGGGACACGCTCTGCACGATTTCAGCACCACTCCCTTCCCCTCCAGACCCCTCTCCCGGCGCAGGTTGTTGTGAAGTTCCTGGAATGACCTGGAGATGAGGAATTTCTCACCTGTCAAATACGCTTTTAGGAGAGGGTGATTGACTCGGCCAGCTGTGAAAACAACTGACCAGACCACAACTACTCAAGTCCGTGCCGTCCTTTATTCCCATCTCTAGATGAGCGTGGAAACAAATTTTCCAAGGATAAAACCTGAAAGTTGCAGCCTTCCTGTTTTTCATCACCGAACACTGATAATGGAACACTGAGGAGGTGGGGGTGATGTCCAGAAACATTCTAAGGCTTCGTGTGCCCTTAAGTTTGAGGCCGTGGGACTCTGGACAGCGGCCACCAAAGGCAGGTTGGAAATGGGGCTGTTATTCTGGGCCAAGGTACCCCGGGAGGAGATTCAGCCTGCCCACCACAGTCTACGGTGCAATTTTCAGGTCATCTCAGTAGCCATCCAGAGGGATGTTGCATGGAAGGGGGCAAGAAGGGAGGGAGGGAGGGGGCCATGGCGCCAGTCTTCTTAGTATAAACAGCCAAGGGATTGGGGTGGAGACAGGGGTCTTTCTAAAGGTGCTGAATTTCAGCCCTGGAGGACTGGCTAGTACTCGTCTTGCTAACTGCATTGCCGTTCTTCAAACAATTCCTAACAGAATTCGCTAAACCTTGAGGGTTGTGAATTGTGGCACTGAGCACAGGAACATTAAGAAAATGCCCCAGGGAAAAATCACTAATCTGGGAAGTTGTAAAAGTTCTAGACTGAAGTAAAAATGAGTGCCAGAAATTTTTGTTTATTGAAAGGAGTGACATTTCTGTAGCTCTCAATTGTTTGCAACTTCCATGAAAATAACAAATTTTGTCTAGTGCCAATATAAGTCATACCATGCCCCACCTCCACATCCATATTATGGAATTACTATTGTAGGTGGACAGAAGCACTCTCCGGGCACTGAAAGCCTTACAGGGATGGAGACTGTAGTTTACAACAGTCTCCATCAGGATGTAAACCAGTCAATTAACAAGAAGTGTTGCATAAGCATATACATAAGGTAACATAACATTACTCAAAAAGCTAATGCAATTCTATAGAATTTTAATTTACCTAAATTCTAAAACAAGTGATGCAGTGACAGAGAATATTCAAATTGGGTCAAATTAACATGGACGGACTTTGTTTCGACCAGCTTTAACACACACACACACACACACACACACACACACATGCACGCGCACATACCCTCCCTGATATAAGTTAGGATGGGGAGAAACATGTATGGTTCAAGAGGTTTGGGATTGGTGTATTGAATGGAGAGTGACTTCTAGTTGTCTCAGAAGCTGCCAGGAGGGGTGTTATATGGGGAGTGATGTGAGTGCAGAGGGGCAGGGCCAAGAAGCATCTGTGGAACACTGCAGGCCTGAGGGTAGGGACTAGGATATTTAAGGAAAGCACAATTATGAAATAGGCCTCGAAATTAAAATAAACTCAAATTACTAGAAGCTTCAGGAATCTTTTCATAGAGATATCATACCAAGGACATCTGAAAGATGGATTTGCTGTGTGAAGGATGTTTTGGAATGCCAAAAAGTGTTATGGCAGAAAGAACACTGGAGTTCAGTCATGAGTTCCTTAGAACCTGAGCCAAGACTCTGGGGGAGAGACCTGGGGAAATACTGGAAAGGGAAAATCATCAGCCCTGGAGACTGATTTATGAAGGGAGTCCTTCTCTTTTGTATTTATTCTAGTAGTTCTTCTGTCTCTCAAAGAAAAGTTTGAAAAGTTTCTGTTTGGAATAGTCATAGGGTAATGGTCCTGCTTACTTTGATTTTTCTAAAAGATTATAACAAAGATGGGGTTAGATGTAGAGATGAGAATCAGAGAATTATGTATGTATAGATTATTATAAATAGATAGTAGATAGTGAATCCAGACAGAGGACCTTTTACTTCTGTCAATTTGTCTTCTGTAATCCATTTCAGAATGCATTATTACCCAGGCAGAAAAAAGATTAAGAGGGCTGAAGGTCCATCATTGGGTAATAGGGATCTCTTTGCTTTGTGGCAGTAGGTTTGGCATAGAGTGTCTGTGTGGAGTTAAGGAAGTGGGAGGAGGTTCTTTTGTCCTTGATTTCAGATTTTCTTGAAGTACCTTGTGATGACATCAACTGTGAGGGAGGATGACAGGGGTGGGAGTGGGGGATGGATGTTTCAGGAGAGAGCTAAGAATTTGAAATCATTTGCAATTTACTAGGTAGGCTGGAGACGTGCATGTGGAGTTTACAGCGGGAGGTTCTCCTGTTTTTCTGAATCCTCCATAGTTATTGTTTTAAAAATGTGTTCAGGGGTTTTTCATCTACATTGTTCAAGAGCTCCCTAAATACTAGCACAGATCGTGCTAGCTTAAATCTTTACAAATAATAGCTGACAAGTTCAGTTGATTTCAGCAACATTCATGGGACATTTTCTGTGGGGCGAGCAACGGAGGTGTATAGGGCTGAATTAAGAGAAATGCTATCCTTGAGAAATGCTTCTTTACATCATTATCATTGTCATTTAGAATTTAGAATATAGTTTTTCTTTAATTATACAGCTTTAAAAAGTAGCAGACATATGATTATACTTAAAAATTTGATAAGTCAACAAAAATAGTTTTAAGATAATGTACACTAAATATTACTGAATTATATAACTAAGGAATTATTCCTTCCATCTTTTAGTTTAGATCTTGCTTTTTTAATATGAATATAGGAGGTATCATTAATTCCAATTTTTAAAGTATTGATCTAAGATTTTATTTATATTACGTTTATTTACTTTGCAAGCATGTAACATTGAAGGCTGGTTGTATATAAATACACATGTTCTGTCAGTGTACTTGGTTATTGTTTTGGGGAGGATAAAAAGGTAACAGTAATTGACTTCACTTTGAAACACTGTTACTTTCTACTGTCAAAGGAACCTTGAATATATAGACTGAGAAGGAATTCCAAAGGAAGAATTAGTTTGGTTTCATAGTACATTATCTGTCTATTAACACACACACATACACATAAACATACACATACCACACACACACACTTTTTTTAAACAAGCAGTATTAATTTAGGGATGTGTGATGCAATTAATGTGACTGTGTATTTGTTCTTTGCTGTTATCTTATTGGAAAGGCAACTAATATTTTACTATTGAATTTACTTAATTGGATCAGAGCATCTGTAGACTCCTGGCATATAGTTTCACTTTGCACAATCATCTTTCTGGCCAGAGAAATTGAAGAGTGAGACATTATGTAGAAGATAGCTCCCTTAAAGGAGTAACAAAGGTTAGTGCCTTGGTTTGAAAGTAGCATCACTTTGCTTGTATTTGTTTCACTGTCTTAATTGTACATTGTTTTCTTAACAGTAGTGGTGTCATTTTCCTTTTAATTGTTAATTTTAGCTACTCTATTCTATATAGATTGAGAAAGCTGGAAGTAATTAGTGCTCCAGAAAACAAACTGCTTTAAGCTAAGATGGTCTTTGGATCTTAAGTGTATATTTTTTATGCTAGTTTTATATGTGGCCATCTTTGTATGTCTACTGATTTCTGATTTAATGAAGTACAGGATTTGTCATTTCATTATGTGATTCTTAAGTAATGTAATTTTAATACCGTATTTTTATAATTGAAAGTTCCTTTCAAGTTTAGTAGTATAATAGGATTATATTTTGGAGTTAAAAACTATATACATATGTATGTACTATATGTGTAATATGTACATATATGTAATATATTATCTGTGTCTAAGTGTTTTTTTAATGTATTTTTAAGAGCTTCACTCTGCTTTATATTTTTTTATCAATGCACAGATTTGCAAACCTATTTTTATAGGTGTATATTACTTAATAGTTTTTGCAAGAATGTCCTTTGACATTATGAAGTTAAAGGCATTAAGCCTTACAATCCTTGGGCTGGGAAGAGTTGGATGATTGGATGTTTTGACAAATACATGAGTTAATTTGGGGTTTTAGATTCAGAATTGAGATAAATTTGAAAGAATGAAACTGTAGTGTATATGGTGGTGGTGGTAGTGAGGACTGGAACATTATTAGTAAAGTTTAAAAACTTGTCCCATAAGACTATACTTGACGACTGTGCTGTCCAGTTTCACCAGACCCCTGTCATAACTATTAAGGTGATTATAACTTGATTTTGTCAATTATTAATATTATTATTTTTGTGAGATGATTGTATATAGGTCTTCACCAATTTATGCATGAATGGCTGTTAATGACTTTACCAGAGAATACAGAAAGTCTATAAGTCTATGAATGTATGGTTATCACTAATTTAAGATTACTTTGAGGTTTAAGGATAATTTATATGAAGCCCTAAACATACCATCTGGTAAATATGGACACACTAAATGATATTATTGATCATCTAAAGTTCTATAGACTAGCATACTATCTTGTTAACAAAAGAAATGTATATTTATTATCTTATTCTTATCTCAATATATAATTAAAATTATAATATTAAAAAGCAATATGGGCCG